ATCCTATTTATGATGTTTTAAAAATTAAGACCTACGAAAGACATTTTAATACCAATTAAGGCCTTAACTTTATTTTGAAAAATTCAATGCCTTTTAAGACTTTTTAAGGACCCACGGGAACCCTGTATTAAGCACCCTGGGCAAATCCCTCCTTCTGCACCCACAAAGGAAAAATAGAAGCTATAGCGCAGAGAAAGGTTTCATCAATCTGTAATGTTTTAAGTGTTATCTTTCATTTTTCAGTTATCCGATCCAGACTGTATTTTTATTCATGTATTTGGGACTTTTAACAAACTCAGAATCAATGATAAACCCGTTCTCACTACTTTCTCTTCTGTAGTTCTACTCAAAGTGTCAGCTTCCGTGTTGATCCACTGTTTAACTTTTACATTCATTATTACTAGCCACATTAGCCACTAATTGCTTCATAAATACATAAATGTATCATTTAGCAGCTGATCTAGGTGAGGAAGATCTTTTTTTGTGTTAATTTTCTAACACGCAGCAGAAAGGAGCAGCTCAGTACTTTAAATAAGGATAGGGGAGCACCGATCGCCTCTACATGAGGCTGTTAGAAAGTTAATGGTATTTATTTTAAGCCAAGTTGTCAGGAGTGTTCAAACGTCTACTTTACTCTTATAGGCGTCTGAAATGCTCTTTAAATAAAGCTGCTACGGTATGGTGAATGACGCAATGGTATTTCAGAAATGTAGGAAAGTCCGGCTCCATTCTGCAGTGAGCAATACATCCTGACTGACATCTTGTGATAGCTGCTGTCCCAAAGATACTCCTTAACAGTATTTCCCTTAATGCGGGCGTACACTGTGCGATATTTTCAATTGTTGCACGCAGCTGCAGCTCAAACTACGGAAGAGGATTAGGGTCACTGGAAAAAAAAAAGTTAAATGATTTTTAAATTTTTTTTTCAGTTTAACAGGGGAAAAAAGTCAGAATTCTGACTTTTTTCTCAGAATTCTGACTTTAATATAAGAATTCTGACAATAAAAAAAGTCAGAATTCTGAGATTAAAGTCAGAATTCTGACTTTTTTACCATACTAAACTGAAATAAAATTTAAAAATCAGTTAACTTTTTTTTTTTTTTTTTTTCCACTGGCCCTAATCCTCTTCCGTATCAAACTGTACGACAAAACTGTATGGTTTAAAAGTTCACAGCTCACGATGTTTGTTCTCACACTGTGCGACCCGACGCTCTGATCGGTCTACCTGCTCACACAATGTCTAAAAACCACGTCGGACTCAGCTCTGCAGTGAGATGATGCTGATCAGGCTCATCAATCTGGATGAAGAAGAAAAAGAACTCCCTTGTTTGCACATGTTCAGTGCTTGAGGTTCTAGTATATCGGCTCGAAGCTCTGCTTCAACAGCTGCAAAAACGATCTAGAAATAAGTCAAAATTTCTTAAATGAAGTGTATTCACCCTTAATTTCAGTAGGTAAATGAGATAGTTTGCCAATGGAATAAGTAGTTTTAGTCTTACAATAAGATAATTAGAGAATATGCACTTGAATTAAGACAATGGAATTGTGTTTTCTTATTTTAAATGTAACTTGTCTTGTTCCATTGGCAAAATGTCTCTTTTACCTCCTCTATTCAAGAACAAATGCACTTATTAAAAAAAAAAATTTGACTTATCTAGATTTAGATTTTTTTGCAGTGAGGATTTGCTCCTGAAAACACCTCACGACGGCCGACTGAATTTCAAACATGTTTGACTTTCTCCTGACCTTACGATTCCTGATCAGGAGGTGGTTGCGAGAGGCTGATCGGCCCTCCTTACTCCCTGTATACTACACGACACACCATCAGGCTGAAAGTCGGCCTGATTAAAAAATTCTCGCACGACTGGAGAATCGGCCAGAAAGGGTAAAAAAAAAAAAATCGTACAGTGTGTTTTAATAGAGCTAAAAACTATTGTTTTTTTGCCTTTTATATTTAAAAGTCATCAAACCATTTCCTTCCAAAAGCACCCAGCTGTGCTCTATCAGTATAATCTGTTTTCTTAACGCTGGAGGGAGAACCAGGATGGATGGACGGATGGATGGAGTACGTGTGGTAAATAAAGCGTTTTTAAATAATTAAATCACAATCAATTGAAAATCTTTTTCCTAATCAGAAAAATTATTTGATTAAATCTCAGACCTTCCCATACATTAACCCTCCTAGGCATATTAAGCTTGATGGAGCTGATGTGTTTTTTATAGTTTTATAGTTTCCTTTGTGACGGACGTATTTCATTGTCATCAGTGTCCCTTTTAATCAACTCCCAGTGAGCCGACAATCATTTATTATTTCCAAACTCATTACGGAAAACAGAATTCAATCATTCATCAAAGTAAAAGCATTAAAGCAAAAAAACCGAACTAAATCAATCAAACATGATCCCGTACCTGATCCTTCTTCTTTTTCTCCTCCACCTGCCTGAGCTGCTCAGAAGACAGCACGCTCTCTATCCTCTGCATGTCCCTCATCAGGAGGCGCTGAGACTCCAGGAACTGGTCGTTGGCCCGCTGCCACGTCTGCTTCAGCTGGTTGTGCTGTTGCCGCTCCAGCTCCAGCTTGTGGCACACTGAAAGCAGCAGAGAGGCGCAGAGAGCGATCAACAACTGTCCAGAAAAAGGGCATCGGCCTCGACTACATTACAGCTTTGTGATTCAAGTCACACATTCCTATTCACATGCTAAGGAGAACAAGACAGAGAAATTGATTCACCTAAATTGCTGCAGCAAACTAACAAAACCATAAAAACTTCCCAAAAATCCAAATGGGAGGAACTTTTATAGAGAATTATGAGCAGGAATATAAAACTGCCCGCTTAATAAAAGAGATAAAAAAGATTCATATCCATTTTATTTCTTAGAAATGAGACTACTGTGAGAAAACAGCAGCTTCTACAAGCCTGATCCTCAGTCTCTACTCTACGCCTTTAAAGGTTATTTAAAATCAGAAAGCTTTCCGTCAGAATCACAGAAACGAACCGTCATGAAGCTCTTTGCGTAGTTTCTCTGCATCTTCCTGCAGCACAGACTTCTGAGTGTTCAGCACGGCCACGTACATCTCCAAGTCCGTACGACACGACTTCTCAGCCTCCAGAACATGATTGAGCTCCTTCACCTGTCAAAAACAAAATGCTGTGGTTTGACTGATTCTTTTATTCCTAAAGTAGAAGATAAATCAATCTGATTGTTTTTAACATTGAACACTTTTATGGTTTCATTTGGTTATGTGCGTCGGGCACATTATTTTTGTTTATTTTTTTCCCTTTTAGTGTTGTATAGAGCTTAGTTGAGTCACTTAAATATTAGAGTTGACAATTATTTCTTTTTTCTTTTGTAAATGATTCGATGACGTAATTGGTTGTGATATTGGTCCGCCTATAAGTAGGCTGGGTCTCTCTCTCTCTCGAGCCACCGTCACAGACGCGATGCGCACGTCTCCCGTCTTTGTAGGCCGCCGCTGACGTCTCCAGCCTGCCATGTGGTATTTTTGTTCGTTAGCCTTTGTTTTTTGCCGATTTTTTGTAACTTTGACCTGGTGGGACCGGTTGTCCTGTTTTCGTTCTTTTTTTATTTTTATTAGGGTTTTAACCGTTAGTTCGTTACTAGCCGAGGCTTCGACAGCCCTGTATAGGGTTGGCCCTCTGCTGTAACGTTTTGTTTCTTTGGATCGGCTCACCAGGTCCAACTTTCTGTTCATACTTTGGGGGGGTTTTTTCCCTTAGAGTTTTTTTTTGGACACGGGGAACTGGGGAAAAATCTGACGCTCTGTTTTCTTTTCTCTTTGCAGAAAAAACAAAACAACTGATCTAAAAAGAAGTTCCAGAGATTAAGAATAATGTTTGTCTCGTGTCCTCAAATATATTGTGGCCTGGGTGGTCGTAACACACATTAACATTGCTAATTGTGGCTACAGGAACCTGATAGATGAGATTTTGATCTTTACTATATATAATATCAGGTGCTGAACTGGAGAGCTCCTTCAGGCACAGACTGCTGTACCCTAAATGCACCACGGAGCGTCATCACAGATCCTTCCTCCCAGACACTAGAACCACCACTTTTCCCAACAACCTCAATAAGTTGTTACATTCATGCAGATTTTACACAGTTTCTACCTTAATCAGTTAACCTCATCCTGACATTTTGCACATCTCTGATATTGCTGCTATTTTCAAATATCCATTACTGTAAAAAAAATAGCTGCATATTGGTTATTTATCCTCCAGGGGCACAGTTTTATATTGTTAAAATAATTTACAGTACAGTATTCTATTGTTTATTTTTTAACTCTTGACTATTATGTTATTCTTATACATTTCCCAAATTGTGACATTTCATGGGCATTACGCTGCCGTGCGCTATGCAGAAGTTAGGCTGTTGTTGGACATAAGTTCTGGACTTGTTATGGATACTTTATGTATAACCCCAAAATTGAAAAAAATACATAGAAAGTTCAGCGTATGCCAACGCTATAGGAGATTTTGGGACGTCACATCCCCGTCAAAGTGTGACAGCGGCTTTAAGAAGTGAAAATTCAACAAGATAAAAAGAGTTGAGAAAGACCAGCAGAATATTGATCAGGAGTTTTTTTTTTTTTTTTTTTTAAAAGGTAATTTATCATGAATGTTCTTTCTAAAACGAGGCTGTTTTCTAAAATACACCTTAAAAATGCTGATGAAGGTTCTCAATCATCCAGGTCATAGTCATTCCGTAAAAATTCAAAAAATCCACTGGACTTGGTTTTCAAGATTTGAAGACGTTTCGCCACCTCTCCAGGAAGCTTTCTCAATTCAAATGTCTGGATCCGCAGTGAGTTTGAGTCTTATAAGACTATATAAGACTATATAAGGAGAGGTGGCGAAACGTCTTCAAATCTTGAAAACCAAGTCCAGTGGATATTTTTTGAATTTTTACGGAACACCTTAAAAATGTTGTTAACAGGCAGACTAACCTTAGAGGCCTCCAGCTCCTTTATCCTGTCCTCAGCAGTACCCAGCTTGGCCTTTAGAGCGGCGATCTCCTGCTCCATGGGCATCACCACTGAGCGCAGCTTCTCTGCATCCTCCTGAGCCTGAAACAAACAACACCTTTTCAACTTCAAAATACCAACAAAACAGTTTAGGGACAAACATTCTGAATATCTCTGTTCACTCTGCATCTTCACTTCAAATATTAAGCTAAATTCAAGGAGAAGCTGAGAACTACTTTTTTTTGTATTTAACATAAGAAAATCTGCTCCAACCCTTTTGAAGCTGTACATTGCTTTTGCTCATCCAGTAAAATGTTGTTTGGATGTTTATTTCTGACTATAAATACACAATTCAACAGCTTTTAACTCAAACACTCATTTTCTAATCCTGTTTTCAAGACAGAATGTGTTTAAGGCGCGGTCCACACGAAGTGAAAACGAACACGAAATGCTAATATTTTCCAGAACGTTTGTCGTAAAGACGGAGACGTAAAATAAATGTGATCGTCCACACGAATGCATGAAAACGCTGCAAAATGTATGCCAGGCCTGTAAGTGGCGCTGTGGTGACAAAATAGGCGACGAAATGTTGGGCATGCGCACTAATATTTATCCATTTTCGTGGTTCAGTCAAAT